CTTATTTGAAGAAATAATAGCTAACAACTTCCCTAATATGGGGAAAGAAACAGATCCAGATCCAGGAAGCACAGAGAACTCCCATCAAAATCAACAAAAGCAGGCCAACATCAAGACATATTGTAATTAAATTTGCAAAATATAGTGATAAAGAAAAAATCTTAAAAGCAGCAAGACAAAAGAAGTCGTTAGCTCACCAGGGAAAACGCATAAGGCTAGCTGCAGAATTTTCAAAATAAACATTGCAAGCCAGAAGAGAGTGGTAAAAATCTGGAAGTCCACAAATACATGGAGATTAAACAACAATCTACTAAACAATGAATGGATCAACCAATAAATCAAAAAATTTTAAAAAGTACATGAAACAAATGAAAATGAACACAGTACAGTCCAAAACCTTTGGGATAGAGCAAAAGCCATCAAAAGAGGAAAGTATATAACTCTATAGACCTACCTCAAGAAGCAAGAAAATTTTCAAATAAACAACATAGCCTTACACTTAAAGCAACTAGAAAAAAAATGACTAATTAAGGACAGCAGAAGAAAGGAAATAATAAAGATTAGAACAGAAATAAATAATATTAAAAAATTTAAAAAAAACACAATAGAACAGATCTATGGGTCCAGGAGCTGGTTCCTTGAAAAAAATTAATAAAATTGTTAAACCCCTAGCCAAACTCTTCGAAAAGAAAAGAGAATGGACCAAAATAAATAAAATCACAAATGAGAGAGGAGAGATCACAACCAATACCATAAACAATTATAAGAAACACAAATAATTATAAGAAAATAAAATGCAAAACAATATGCTAAAAAATTGGACAACCTGGAAGAAATGGATGGATTCTCAGAAATATATAACCTAACCAGATTGAAAGAGAAAGACTGATAACCAACAAAGAAACTGTATTAGTAATCAGAAATCTCCCAACAAACAAAATTCCAGGACAAGATATGTTCACAGGTGAATTCCACCAGACATTTAAAGAAGAGTTTACACCTATTCTTCTGAAACTATTCCATAAAGTAGAAATGGGAGGAAAACTTCCATGTTCATTTTATGAAGCAAGTATTCTCCTGACACCAAACCAGATAAGGACAGCACTTAAAAAAAAGAACTGTAGTTCACTATCCCTGATGAACACAACTGCAAAAATTCTCAACAAAATTCTAGCAAATCAAATCCAACAATATCTTTTAAAAATTATTCACCCTGATCAAGCAGAATTTATTCCTGTGTTGCAAATATGGATCAATATTCACAAATCAATCAGTGTGATAAATCACATTACTAAAAGAAAGGATAAGAACCATATGATCATTTCAGTAGATGCAGAAATAGCATTTGACAAAGCACAACATGAGACACCATTCCTCAACATAAAAAGACAATATATGAAAAACCCACTGTTAATATCATCCTCAACAGGTAAAAGCTGAGTTTTTCTATGGTCAAGAATAAGAAAGGAATGTCCACTCTTACCACTTTTATTCAATATATTACTTAAAGTCCTAACCATAACAATCAGACTATACAAAGAAATAAAATGTATCCAAACTGGCAAGGAAGATGTAAAACTTTCATTGTTTGCAGGTGACATAATACTCTATTTAGAAAGCCTGAAAAACTCCAAAAAACCTGCTGGAATTGATAAAGGAATTTAGTAAATTCACAGGATACAAAATCAATGTACAGAAATCTTTCATTTTTATACATCAATAATAAAGCAACAGAAAGATAAATCAAGGAATCAATCCCACTTACAATTGCACAAAAATCATGAAATACTTAGGAATAAACCTAATAGAAGAAAACTATAAATCACTGATGAAAGTAATTGACAATGACACAAAGAAATGGAAAAAATATTCCATGCTCATGGATTGGAAGAACAAATATTGTTACAATGGCTATACTACCCAATGCAATCTAGACATTTAATGCCATCACTATGAAAATACCAACCAATTTTTTCACAGAACTAGGAAAAATAATCCTAAATTTTTTGTGGAACCACAGAAGACCCTGCAGAACCAAAGGAATCCTGAAAACAAAACAAAACAAAAAACAAAACTGGAGGGGTCACAATTCCAGATTGCAAGCTATATTACAAAGCTGTAGTCATCAAGACCGTAGGCACTGGCAGAAAAACAGACACATAGATCAATGGAACAGAATAGAAAACCCATACAGAGGTAGAATTGGGGTACATAGTGTAGGAATAGGTTGAGCAGATAGAATAAGACAGAATCAAACTGATCTGTAACATGGAAAAGTTCCATGACAAGAGTCAAATAATTTCTGGTAGATATGGGTCCATACATATTGCATAGGATAAGAGCTAGAAGCCATCTCCCATTCAGAAATTTTATCTCAGTTTCAATCTCCGTATTTCCTTCCACCCAAACCTTTTTTACTATGTTCACAGGGGGTTCTGTTTATGATGAGAAAAATCTACATCTTCAACATTTCCTGTGTTTTTTCTACCTCCTTGCCTTAACTGATACTTGTTTCTCCAGAACAGCACTTTCCCCTCTCAAGTTGAGGCTGCTTATGTTCTCACACATCACTCAGAGTTAGGAGTCTCTAGGTGGATTATCTTCAAAAGAGAAGGTCTGCTTAGAAGCTTCATTTTCTTGCTCAGCAAATGGACCCTGGGCAAAAGCAGCTCTAATTTATCACTGAGTCCTTTGGAGTTGTAATTGATCCCCATTTCTTATCCTCGTAATTCCTTACTTTCCTGCCTAGGTCTTTGATATTATTAAGAAGATTTTGTAAGGTGTCTTCTAAAATTTTAAATTGCCTTTAGCAAAAAGGTTGTCCCAGATCACCCAATCCATTATTGCCAGAAGCAAAAATATTTCCTATTTTTAAACTGTTGAGAAAGTGAAAGTATTATTTACCCCATAATACAAAAAGAAGACTACAAAATCACAATTAAGAAATGCTTAACTAGGGGCACCTGGGTGGCTCAGTGGGTTAAAGCCTTCAGCTTAGGTCATGATCCCAGGGTCCTGGGATCGAGTCCTGCATCAGGCTCTCTGATCAGCAGGGAGCCTGCTTCCCTCTCTCTCTGCCTGCCTCTCTGCCTACTTGTGACCTGTGTCTCCATCAAATAAATAAGTAAAAACTTAAAAAAAAAAAAAAAGGAAATACTTAACTAAATATATACAAAACATGACCATGTCAGCTTCTTTAAATATTAAATTTAGTATTCATCAATATTTCATTTCACTTGAAAACAATTTGGAATTTAGATTTTTTTCTTCTACAGTAGCAGAATTCATATATATATATATATATATATATATATATATATATAATGGTTGCAGAGAAATCACTATCAAGCATGATTTAATGAATTACTTGGTGCTAAGTAATTTTGAATTTAGAAACAGAGTTATAAAATATTAATATATTTTATTTAACATTTATATTATTTATATTTAAGTAAGAAGATAGGTACATTTGAATTTTTTAAAATTTTGCTACACTGTGTAGTGGTGTTTCCAAAATAAGAGTGCCTAGGGTATAAGGATGTGGAGGGAGAGTGAAGAATGGGACAGAAAGAGCAAAGGCATGAAAATAAGAATAAATATGGTGATTCCAATGAGGAGTCAATAATGATTATGCAGGGAAGTTTGGAGGAGCAATGGGTAAGACTATGGATATTGTAGGGTAGGATCATGGAAGGAGATCCTCAAAAACATAATTTAGGTTTTGTTTGATAGTCATTGAAGAACTATCCAAAGTATTTCAGCCTACATTGTCTTTATTGATATATGAAAGTGAAATTTTAGGAGGAAAAACAGCTAACAATTATTGAGTACTTTCCCTGTTTCAGGGATGTGATACAGTGATGGTTAGGAGGGAACCTTTGAAGTTGGTTAGACTTGAGGTTGAGTCCTGGTTCTGGAATTTACCAGCTATAAGACATTGGGGAAATTACTTATTTTCCTGAGTCTCAGTTTCTTCATCTACAAAATTGTTATAATAACATATACTTCTCAAAGTTGTTGTATGAATCACATAGTTTGAAGAAGGGAGATCCTGTGAACAGAGAACAGTTAAGATAAGGTATTACAATTATTGATTCTAGACAAAAGTGATTACACCACTGGAATGGAGAAGGAGGAAAGACTGCAAAGGAAAAGTAAAGAAGCAGGACAGGTGACCGACTCCTTCAATTCACTCTCATTCATCTTGCAAGTTTCTTATTTCTGTTCATTTGACATAATCTGGGAAAATGAAATTATACTCAAGAATAGGGTCCCTCTCTGAACATTATCGATTGTTTATACATCTCCTTAGAGCTACAAATAACCATTTGTTCTCTCTGTTCATCATTTCAACATCCCTGCAACATATAATTCAACTCCCTTTCTTCAGTCAACTAAAAAATAAAACAAAACAAAAATCATTCACTTTCTTATACCATATTTTCAATTTTTTATTGTTTGCAATTTCTTCCTCCATTATTGAGTTTGCCAGTCAGGCCTCCTGAAAATTTTCACAGAGACAGGATTCACTATCATAACAAAAAGTAAAACTCATAAAGGAAGCCAGTCCTGCCATTTCTGGTCTTAGGGAAACTTGAAACTTTTCTTAAATTTTCTGTGCCATTGCTCACTTCTTCAGTGCCGGATTTCTGCTACCAGCTAACTTCAGAATGATCATTACATAATAGGAGTCTTAAAATGCGCAAGGCTTTGAAGGCATGGGCTCTGGATTCAACACAGAGTCTTCTTTCAAGGAAGATCTGTCTTCTTATTTGCATACATTTCTAAGCAGGAAGTTATATGCGCAGAACTTTCACTTTCTGTGGTAAAATGTCTTTCATTCTAATGCAATTTAATTCAATGCTCCCTTTTGTTTTTTCTTTCTTCTTTACCACTTCTTGGGGGTAGAACAGTCAAAAATAAATGTTTCAACAGATCTCGCGGTGCTATTCGAGATTCCCTATTAAAAAAAAAGAGAGAGAGAAAGAAAGAAAGAAAGAAATGATGCAAAGGAGCCTGTGTTTTCCAGGCTTTGGGGCTGGGACTGCAGTGTTCTGAGCTCACTGAAAGCAGTCAAAGGAGGAGGCGGGACTCGGGCGAGTTCCCCTTCCACCTACCCCCACCCTTCTCTTCCCACCTCTCTTCCACCTCTACCTCGATTCCAGTCTTTGCTGCAGCTGCTCTCTAGCCGTTTGCACGACCCAAACAACAGCGGCCTTTGTTCCCAGGATGGTGATCCGTGTGTATATTGCATCTTCCTCTGGTTCTACGGCGGTAAGAAGGGTGGGGAAACCGCCTTTGTTTTCCTACACACCTACCTCCTTTTGTCCCAGAACCGTTAAATTGCAGAAGTTCATCAGGGCAGCTGTTCCTTCAGAGGACACAAGCGTCTTCCGCGTCCTGCCCTTCTCTTTCTTTCCTTTGTTGCTTCGATTTCATTTTTCCGTGGAGTTTAGCTTTGTTTGCTTTATGATGTTAAGATCACATTTCTTCTTTGAAGGAAAAGAAAAGCTACTGAGTTTTGGTAGATGGGGAAAGGTGGTATATATATAGGGTCTTTAAGGTTAGTGGAAGAAGTAAAGTAAAATCACAGACTGGTGAGTTTCAGGAGTGGGAAATTTGACATTCGTGTTTTAGGTACTGAGACGAAGGACTGGCATGCCCTTCTGTAAGGATGTAAAACATGCGCCGGCTGATGACATTGAGTGGAGGCCTACCGAGGCATTGCGATTATTTTTGAGTGAGGCCGCTTTAATCAAAGAGTCATTTTGCCAGTGTGTAGGAGAGGTTGTTTAAACTCAGCCTAAAAAAAGTGTTAGAACTAGTTAGAATGGGAGGTGAAGTTGAGAACAATGGTGCAAAGTTGTGGGGTTTTTTAAAAAGCAATGTGACAAGGGACCTGTTTTTTCTTTCCATAGTGTCCCTTATTTTGACTTCTTTTTTTCCCACAAAGATTTGACTTCTAACAGTTTCTAACTGCTTCAAATATATTGAGAACTAAAAAGGGAACTAACAAGTAAGTGGCTTGTGTAGTGGTAGACTCCAGTTGCTGCTTCTTCAAATGCTAGGACAGTTCCTCCCTGGATTCATGTGCTTTTAATTTAGAATAACAATTCTTAAGCAACTGTGGGAAGCAATAGGATAAACTGGGATGTAACCTGACTGTATCTCCATGATAAATGAAAGTGCCTGTTTTTCACAACTCAACAAAGTTAACAGTAGCAAGAGTAGATAGAAGAGTTCTGGATGTAGGATGTAATAATTGCCTCCTCTTCTGAGCTTTAGAGCAGCAGCTATTCCATGTTTTTACTGTTGCTGTTTGTTTTGCTTATTTACCCCTAGGTGGGTTTGGGATAAAATTGAAGGTTATGTGAAATCACAAGAACCTTGAACTTTGAAATTTGTCTTCTCTAGACACTATGCGTGGATGTGTTTCGACAGTTCTCTGACAGAAAACTTGACATTTTTTTAGCAAGTTCAGGTTGAAAACATAAAATTTTCATATTGTCTTTGAACCTCACTTCATGAGCTTCTTGCTTTATTATTAACCACATATATTAATTTTGATATTTCGAAGTAATATTTGAGTTACTCCGAGTCTCAAATCCAATACAATAATTGTAAAATTTTAAAGACCAGCTTAATAACCTTACTTAAATTCCTTATTAGATTGAACAGATCAGGAAGTTAGTTTCATTTTGGGTGATATGCAGCTCCAATATTGCCATTTACTCTTTGCTTTCTTGCTCTTCTGCCCCTGCCCCAAAAGCAGATTAAAAAATAAACTCCTTTCATAATTTCTATTAAAGAATAATTGTACCTTTCTTTGTTAAGACTTAAGTTTCTAAGGGCCTTAAAAAAATGACTGCTGCCTCTTATTATGCACATTGTTAGACTGGGATTGCTGAAGACTATACAAATAGGAAATATTTATGCTACTTGTGTTTTGTTTCGATTTTTTTTCTTATCAGTAGAGATTTGTATATTGTTTTACTAATTATAGTTTTATGAGCCTGTTATCAAAATTATGCATAATGCCAAAATATTTTTTTTAAAGCATGGGTACTTTTAAATAGTGCTAAAACAGTATAAAGTGAGTATACTTCATTTATAACACAAATAGAGACTATTCAGTTTGCAAATACTAAGGTTTTTTCATTAAAATTGCTACCATATAGTTTTTAACACACAATTTAGAAATTTTGGGGCAAAAATCTTAACGGGAACACAATAATTGGTCAAAATGAGACAGTCCTATAAGTTACTAAGTGTAGGTCTCTGAAGAGCATTTAAAAGAAAGCTTTTGGTTTTGAATTTGTAATTTCTCACTGTTTTCTGATTCCTTCTAATGGTTGTTATAAATATAACCAATATTAGATGTTTTATCAGCTAGAGGAGAATATATGGTAAGTCCAAAACAACATTAACTTGTTCTGTTCTTATTTTAAGACTCCTTTTCCTTCATAGACTGATTAAAACAAAACAAAACAAAACAAAAAAACAGTTTTCAAGGTTTACTCAACTCTGCCCCAACACAGTTAGCACTTGCTTCTCAAAAGTTTAGAAATGAAAGCAAGTAGGTTGGTTTTGCAATGGTTTTCTTGCATCAAAAACTAACGACATACTGTATGGTGACTAATGTAACATAATAATAAAAAAGAAAGTAATAATAATAATAATAGGAACAATTAAGTGTATCAGGTACTATCTCACCTTTTCTTTACAATTTCTAGTCCTGTGAATTAAGTTTATGATTATCTCTATTTTTAAGATAAGGAAATACAGGTTCAGAAAGTTTAAACAACTTTCTCAAGGTCACATAACTAGAAAGCCACAGAACTTGAATCCAACACAAGCTGTTTAAATACAATAACATGTATTTAACCACCAAAAAATACATTGTCCCAGTGATGCATGTAGAGGAGGCATGAGAAGATAAATGTGAACATGAGAGGAGAGGTACAGAAATGACTATCCCCTATATGTGGAAGAATTACCTGAGCATATATACATACAGGGATTAGAAAAATGAGGAGCTGATGTGGAGGAGGGATAGCATGTCTAAAGTTGAATGTCAATAAGTGGGATAAATGACTCTTCACTCAAGACCATGGAGATAAAGAAGACATTCCCATTTGGAACTATTTTTTATAGGTCAAGGTAGAAGAAATTCAGACCCTAATACAGTTTCTTTTTATGGAAATCATTCAGCAGGAATGCAATTCCAAAGTTGTCTGACTATAGGAGGTGATTTCTGCCTGTTCAGAACTATTTGTGCATGTCTTGACCAACTGTAACACAGAAGTATATACCTTTTTTGTCAAGATTGTAATGCATTATACATTTATATTTAATGGAAAAGGAATAGAAAACATAGACCCTGTGTATCTTAATAAATTTCAATAACTTTTAACAAAAATCAGCATTGGGTTTTGATGAGAATTGCTAGAGTGATGATTGCTTGGAGAATTTTAACTGGTTTGGGAGGATTTTTTTCTTATACTTCTTTTCCCTGGACCCATAATAATCTCTGTTTTATGATCTCTATGTATTCTAGGTATGCTTGGTGTAGAAATGTTAAGATTGTGATACATAGATGGTTTCTGAGGGGTTTATTTATGAAATGACTTTTTAAAAATGATCTCTTTTATGACTGTTAAAACAAACTATTATCCAAGTAAGAAATGAAATACACATATTTTTTATGGCAGTGTTCAGTACACAACTTATAAAAACAAGTAAATAAATGCTTGTGATTGCCAAAGCATGAGTCACTAGTCACAGTATTTTTTTGATTTGGATAATATAGATGTGGAATAAAACACTACAGTTCTTTATTTATATGATTCTCACGTAATTGTATTTTAAGTGGCAGCATATTTTGCTGCTCTGAGTCTGCATTTATAATGAACATTGATTTGATGTATGATCTTTGTTATAGCTTTCAAGGTTTGTTTGGATGCTGTTTAAAGGTATTTACAAACTATTTATTTAAAAGAACAAAATCAGGAACTGTTCTTTGAATGTTTGGACATACTTTTTGGATACTCTAAACAGTGGAAAATGACAGCATTCTCTAGATTAATGCAGGAACTCAATATTAGTGCTTTCAACTTGGTGCCCTATATTCGATGACTGACTTCCTAAATTTCACAGCAACAATGGAAAAGTTTTTGGAATAATTTAGCCCAATTTAAAGATGCTTGGAAAACACAATTATCAGCAATGATGATTCTTGAGCACTTAAAAGTCAAATGGTTTTAGGGAAGAATGTATTTTGGGAATTTAGTATAAATTTAGGTTTATGATCTGGTAGAAGAGAAAGATAAAATGGATTCATCTCTAGCTCAAAGACTAGTTTCTCTACTGAGGAGGCATTTTGATCTATGTACCTTAAGGTCAGTTTTCCCCCTGGATTGGCCTGGGGGAAAAAAATAAATTGAAACCCCAGACACATTCAGGTCAAATGTTCTAATTCTCTGTAGTTAATCTCTAAATTCTTCTCTAAAATATACATTGCACTATCAAACATATATCTTTTTATAGTAATATTTTCTGGTACTTAATTGAATAATTAAGGCTGAATGTGATATTTCATCTCTTACTGATAAAATTAAACATATTGACAATTTGTCAGTGACTATGACCATCTGTTTGCTTTCAGTTCTGCTTTGTAGCCCACAAGAAAGCCTTTTACGCCTAGTACTTAATGACTTCCTCCAATCCAGATCAAAATTAAATGAAAGTATAATTAGAGAGAAGGGGCTGTTCATTTATGAAGACTGTTTTTATTAATATGAGAGGCAAAACTGACATTTTACACTTGGTTTAGCAGAATTCTAAGCAAAGGGATTATTTGCTAGTCTAGTCCCTCACATTTTGGCTTTATTAGGTTGTTTGAAGTTTTGCAGATTGCCAGAACATTAAGTAAAGTTTAAATATAAGTTAAAACATATCACAACAAATTCAAAGATTATATATTTAGAAGTATTCAGTGTCAGTGTTATTAGATTTTTTTTAAGGATTTTATTTATTTGATAGAGAGAGACACAGTGAGAGAGGGAACACAAGCAGGGGAGGGAGAGAGGGAGAAGCAAGCTTCCTGCTGAGCAGGGAGCCCAAAAGACATGGGTCCTGATCCCAGGACCCAAGGATCATGACCTGAGCTGAAGGCAGATGCTTAATGACTAAGCCGCCCCGGCGCCCCAGAGCTTTTTGTTTCATTACTCATTCATTAACATGACTAATCAAGATTTGACTCTATTAATAGTAAAAGCTAACATTTATTTATGCAACATATATATATCAGACACTGTGCCCAGTGCTTTACATACATTATCTTAATTAGTTTTATCTTTATAATAACACTAATAAGTACTATTATTTAGATCTATTTCAGAAAATTGGAGAGAGTATCTCTAAGACCCAGAAACATTAGGTATATTGGTCAAGATCAATATAAATACTATTACTAGATCTATTTCATGAAATTGGAGTATTTTTAAGACCCAGAAACATTAGGTATATTGCTCAAGATCAAAGAGTTACAAATGACAGAACTGAGATTAGAACCCAAGTTGTTTTGGGGGTGCCTGAGTGGCGCAGTTGGTTAAGCATCCAACTCTTGGCATTAGCTCAGGTTTTGATCTCAGGGTTGTGAGTTCAAGTTCCATGTTGGGTTCTACATGGAGCATGGAGCCTGCTTAAAAGAAGAAGAAAAAAAAAAAAGAACACAAGTTGTTCTGACTCCAGAACCCACTCCTAAACACCATGTTATTTACACATTCACTTAGTGTATAGGTATTAGACAAAAATTATGTCAATAGTGCATTAAAATCTTGTCATGTGACTACGGGTCTATAGTTGCCATTTAAGACTGGATGATGCCTGAAAAGGAAGAAAAAGACTGAATGATGCCTAACCAGGTAAATGTGTGTTCATCCATACTCTTTACATGAGAGTTAGGTGAGATGGTGGAAAGTAAGGAGGTTGGTTAGTAGCATCAATTTCAGATATATTTTAGTTCTTTTTTTTTGTTGCTAATAAAATTGCCTAACTAAGGGCAGATTTTTAAATAGCATTTGTGCCATGTATTGAACCCTTATGATTTTGATTCTCTTCCCTGAAAAAGTATTTTCATGTTGCTATAGGCCAACATAATTCAAATTAAAATTCAAATTCTTTGGGGGTAAATACCTAGTAGTGCAATTGCTGGGTCCTGGGTAGCTCTATTTTTAACTTCTTGAGAAAACTCCATACTGTTTTCTAGAGCGCTGTATGAGCTAGCATTCCTACCAACAGTGTGAGAGGGCTCCCTCTTCTCTGCTTCCCCGCCAACATTTGTTGTTTCCTAACTTCTTAATTTTAGCCATTCAGACTGGTGTGAGGTGGTATCTCATTGTGGTTTTGATCTGTATATCACTGATGCCAAGGGATAAGGAGCATTTTTTTCATGTTATCTGTTGGCCATTTGTATGTCATCTTTGGAGAAACATCTATTCATGTCTTTTGCCCATTTCTTAACTGATTATTTGTTTTTTCGGTGTTGAGTTTGCTAAGTTCTTTATAGATCTTGGATACCAGCCCTTTATCAGATATACCATTTGCAAACATCTTCTCCCATTCCTTAGGTTACCTTTTAGTTTTGTCGAATGTTCCCTTTGTTGTGCAGAAGCTTTTTATCTTGGTGAAATCCAAATAGGTCATTTTTTGCTTGCCTCTGGAAACATGTCATTTTGCTTGCCTCTGGAGACGTGTTTAATGAGAAGTTGCTCTGGCTGAGGTGGAAGAAGATGCTGCCTGTGTTCTCCGCTAGGATTTTGATAGATTCCTGCCTCACATTTAGGTCTTTCATCCATTTTGAGCTTATCTTTGTATATGGTGTGAGAAAATGGTCCAGTTTCATTATTCTACATGGGCTGTCCAATTTTCCCAAAACCATTTATTGAAGTGACTGTCCTTTTTCCATTGGATATTCTTTCCTGCTTTGTTAAAGATTAGTTGAGTTGACCATAGAGTTGAGGATCCATTTCTAGGATCTCTATTCTCTTCCATTAATCTGTGTGTCTGTTTTTGTTCCAATACCATAATGTCTTGATGATTACAGCTTTGTAATAATAGCTTGAAGTCTAGCATAGTGATGCCACCAGCTTTGGTTTTCTTTTTCAACATTTTTATTTTCTGGTTCCATACAAATTTTAGGATTATTTGGCAACTTTCATTCCATATGATTAACAGAGTGCCTTTATTCTGTTTAAAAGCATATGATAAAAAAAAAGACAGATGGCATGTCATTGTATAAAACAGGATTAAGCTTTTTTCTAAATATTTTTAAATCTATAATAATTGTCTCTACTGCAATAATTGTTTTAAGTCACACAAGGTGGGTTTCTGTACATAAAAGAACAGATTTTGAGGCTACATCAGTGTTTCTACAGTTTATGTCTTAGCTTTTCTCCTCTCAGTATGATGAACCTGTCAGGATACAGCAAATGTTAACAAGGATGCAGAGAAAGGGGAACCCTCTTATACTATTGGTGGGAATGCAAGCTGGTACAGCAGCTCTGGAATACAGTATGGAGGTTCCTCAAGAAGTTAAAAATATAAATACCCTATAATGCAGCAATTGCACTGCTAGATATTTACCCAAAGAATATAAAAATACTAATTCAAAGAGATATCTGTACTCCAATGCTTACAGCAGCATTATCACCACTAGCTAAATTATGGAAAATTCAATGGAGATAACAATTTACCTACCTTCTTTCTCTACCAGATCATGAACTTCTTACTGTCCAGAATATGCTTATACATGGTAAGTTTCCAAATAAATATTTGTTGATGCATGAATGGATGGCATGTTTAAATTCATGTTCAAACATGTCATTCAAATGGAGTTCTGCAGTTGCTAGTGGGAAATGTGTGGCTAGAACTTGGGGAAGGTGGTGCTGGAGAATATATTTTGGAGTCATTCAGAAATAAGTACTTGAAACCAAAGGAAAAAATGAGCTCATTTGAAGGGAGGAATTATAGAGTGAAATGAGAAGAAGGCTAAGAACAAGGACAGGATATTAGTGGATGTTCACATTTAGGATTGGGTGAAAGGAAGCAGGTGCAGCAGATAACAGGAGGATTCATTAAGAGAGATCAGAGTGGCTTCCTTTAGTAGAAACCAGAGTACTGATTTAGAAAGGCTGTTGAATTCAAAATAAGGAAATCATTAGTGATCTTGGCAATAGCAGTTTCAGTGGAATGCTGAGGACAGAAACCTGATTAAAAAGTCTAAAGAAATGCATTATATATTGAAGAAGAGGTGAGTAGGTAGGCTAAGATTTGAGTAGTTTGATAAAAAGAAAAAAAAAGTTGAAAAGAATTAAGTAACATTATCTTAGAGCTATTAAAATGGAACAAAACTAAGTGAACTGGAATTTTGCCTTAAAAAATCCTATTTGTCAGTTTTCCCAGCCTATATTTATCAGAACATTGTTGTTTTATTTCATTGTAGAATCAACTTTAAACTAACTCAATTATTAGTGGCTAAAATATTCAAGAATTAGTATTTTAGAAATTATGAAGTATTTTACAATTTTATAGAAATTATAGAAGTATTTTAGAAAGTATAATTAGAAATTAGAGAAAAATGAATATTTGTAATTAGAAAACAATGAAACCAAATAAACATTTTTATATTATTTGTTGAAATGTCCACTGAACATTTTCTTATCAGGACAGATACAAATTACTTCAGAAAGTATTGTCTTTAAAGTATAAAAGTCTTTGCTAATTTCAGTTACCATATAAAGTCTGTGTTGACTATGTAGTAAAATGTCTTTATTTTTAGCTGTAAATTTAAATTACCCTTGTAAGAGAATAGTCAGGAAAGTCAAAGTTCTTACAGAAATTATGAAGAATAGCTGGACAACTTACCTTACTCTAAACTTCAGTAAAAACTAGCTTGACTCTTCAGAAAATATTATTCTCTATGCTCTAACTTCTATGAGATGGATTATTTTAGTCAAAAGAAAGTACAATTTATCTTTTTTTTTTTTTTTCAATTTATTCTTCTACATTTAGTCCTCCACCTCCTAATCTTAACCTAGTTTCCAAAATTTCTGGGCTGACTTGGGATCTGGTGAAAGCAACTCAATAAAAAAGACAAAGATAAATGGGAAGAAATTAGAAATTTGAGGCTCCATATAAATTAAATTATTAAATTCAACTTCAGAGAGTTTATAGAACTCTGGTTTAGTACTTCTACATTGAGCAAACTTAATACATACAATACACATACTATATAAAAATTTGGCAGAGATACTCAAGTGCTGAGTCTTAGGATGGATAGGCCCTGCCAATTCTGGATCTATAGGCTATACTGAGCATTCCCTTCTTTTATCCCAATGTTCATTCATTCATTCAGAAAATATTTATTGTTATTCATTGAGCTAGATTCTAGACCCAGGTCCTCAAGAGTGAAAAGAGCCAGGAATAATCCTCAGCCTCTTCCCTGAGCCAGAATAAGGGAGGACATATAGAGCTGTCAATTTTAGTGACCAAATTGTTTTACAAATAACAAGGTATATGTGAGGGGCTTGAAAGTGGAAGTACTTTAGGGACTATTTGTGTGCAAGTTGGTATGCTGTCTCACAAGAATTAGCATTCTCTTACCTCCAAAAAATGCCCCAAAGTATTTTGTCTATGTCTTCCAGTTGCCCTGACAATGATCTTCACCTTGAATCACTATTCTGAAAACAGTGATAGTTTAATATTGAATTTAACTTTTCCTCCTTTTTCCTGCCATTGCACTTATATTTATACATTTTGCACTGGTACTATTATACGGTTTTGATTAAAGTCAAATGTAGCAACAATGACAAGTTAAGGATTTGTGGTTTTATTGCCTATTTCTATCAGTTACCTTGGGATTCTCGAACAAAGCATGCTAGACCTCTATTTTATTACCTCAAAATGTCTTTTAGTCCACTCAATAATCCCTTCACTTTGGAGTCACCCCAGCTTTGATCTTTTGTGTAAATAATTATGCTTTACAAAAATCTAAGGTGTATTCATTAATTCCTTTATTTATAACACCTCAACCATCTTATTTTTGTCTCTCCCTTTGTGTTCTCTCTGGCTCTTTCCTTCTTTTCCAAGGATTATAGGATTTCCAACTATATATATTTCGTGAGACTTGTGATTTATTGACTTTAAATTAATCTCAAAATCAGCAGTTTATGCACTATGAAATCAGTAATTTGCTAAAGTCTAAGTATTAGTCATCGTTCATTTATGATAGATGACAGTATTAATAATGAAGAGAATCATATGCCATGACTAATGTAAGACCAAATGTAATGCCTTTAAAAGATTTTATTTCCATGGGTGCCTGGTTGGCTCAGTCAGTTAAGCATCTAAATCTTGATTTCAGCTCAGGTCATGATCTCAGGGTTTTGAGATTAAGCCCCAGGTAGGGCTTTGGGTTAGGCATGGAGCCTGCTTAAGATTCACTCTCTTCCTTGCTCTGTGACCCTCCCCATTTCTCCCTCTATAAAAACAAAACAAACCAAAACACACACACACTCTGTCTCTCACTCACACTGGGGCACCTGGATGGTGTGGCTGGTTAAGCACCTGACTCTTTGTTATGCCCGAGGTTTCGCATCCGAGAGACCACCAAGGAGCCAAGCACCGATGCAATCACTTGAGGGTTTATTTGACAAGCTTAAGCTTGGGCCCAAGTATACCCGACACAGCAGAGTAGGGACTTGGACCCCAAACCAGATTACAGAGTTTTTCAAGGCAGAGTAGGGGTAGACTCGACAGTGGGGGAGGACAAAGGGGATTATGGATGATGTAAATCTCCAGGGATTTTTGGAAGCAAGGTCTCCAGGACCTTGAAGGGCTAGCTATTGTTGGGAGAAAGGTTATTTATTACCAATAATAAAAATCTTCTCGTGAGACCCTTTAGATGTATATCAGTGGGCCATATGCTTGGGAATGATTCTTGACACTATCTTGGAGGTTTAGAGATAAAGTTTCCTCAAGGAATTGTTAAAGTAGACTTACAGGATTCTGGTCGGACCTGTCGGGGTGGGGGGTTGGTCAGGCTAGGATTGTCCTTAGCAAAACCTCAAAGTGAGGGCAGTTGAGTTCCCAGGGGAGAGCCACTCTGTCTGTTTCAAGAGCTTGTCAGTAGGTAAGGAATTTTAATGATTTTCTTCTGCCTCTGTTTCCCACATCAGCTAAACTTGAGGTGGGATGGCCTTAATTTTCTCGGCCTCCACATCTTGGCTTTGGCTCAGGTCTTGATCTCAGGGTCCTGGTACTTAGCCCTGTATCCAGTACCATGATCCGTGCAGAGTCAGCTTAAGATGCTCTCTCCCAGGATGACTGGGTGGCTCAGTTAGTCAAGCATCTCCTTCAGCTCAGGTCATGATCCGGGAGTCCCAAGGAGCCCTGTATGGGCTTCCTGCTTAGTGGGGAGTCTGCTTCTCCCTCTGCTCCTCCCCTATTCAGACTTTCTCTTTCAAATAAATAAAATCTTTAAAAAAGAAAGAAAGAAAAGATAATCTCCCTCTCCCTCTGTCCCTCCTGGCCCCACATTCTCTCTCTCTGGAAATATAAATCTTTTAAAAAAAGGTTTAATTTCCAGAAAAAAATTATTCTGTCATGAAATTATTACACTGCTTGCTGAGGTAGAGAAAACACAACTGTTTTAGAACCCTTTATGGAAGGCTGTGACTTTTTTATTAAAGATTTTATTTATTTGAAAGAGAGAAAGCAAGAGACAGATTTCCAGCAGAGGGGTAGGGGCAGAGGAAGAAGGAAAAGTACACTTCCTGCTGAACAGGCAGCCTGATAGGAGATTGGACCCTGGGATCATGACCTGAGCTAAAGGCAAATGCTTAACAGACTGAGCCATCCAGGCGCCCCAAGGTTGTGACTTTTAATGTTGTTTAATAGTAACTTGTTTGGAATCCTTTGCACCTTTAGTGTACTAATCAGTCAGCAAGTGTTGGATTGGGGAGTAAAGGGTAACAGCTTAGAATATTGGGTTAATCTCTGTTTTTTTCCCCATTGTAAAATAGAAGTAATGACCTTATCCCTACTTCCCATGAATGTTAGTAAGATTTTTAAAAATATGATTAATAGCAAGTACTTTGATTTCCTTTGAAAAAAATAATTTTTTATTAGCAGCCCAAAATAATTTGTTAAAACTGTTAATACAGAATGGCCTTTCTGTTTTTCTTTTATAACTTAGAATTGTATGTTTGTTTTTACTAGTTCAAAATTAGATTTCAAGAAAATGTTAGCTCCTTGTTTTATTTTGAAATCCTGATATTGGCACAGAAGAGAATCCTACCTCTTATTGTTTTTCGTTGAAAAATGAACTCCTGTTTTAAGAAGAAATATTGTAGACTTTTCTGTCCTCACTGTTTCTCTCCTTTTTTCTCTTTCTCTCTCCCTCTTTCCCCCTTTCTCTGGTTCTTTTCTATGGCCTCATAAGAATGCACAGTGATTTGCAGTTTGTGGAACATGGTATATAATACCAAAGTTGTGTTCCAGAGAAGTTGTATTTTAAGCAAGGAAAAGAGTACTAAGAAAAGGTCATACAGGACTTTCAACTCTAGAAAATAGGCTAATAATGCTGCTTGTTACTTTGACGTTTCCAAATTAGAGTTGTCACATATAAAGACTTTCATATATCTATTATTGTGTTCTGGAAAGAGAATCCCATGCTATTGAAAATGATCACATTTTTTTCATTAATAATCTTTCTTTTTTTGGGGATGATTTCCTCCCCACCCTCCATTTCTT